AAGGGGAGCAGGGGGCCGGGGCCGGGGCCGGAGCACGCTTCGGTACCCGGGCCCTCGGGTCGTGCAGGGCGATAGGTGAGGAGCGAGAGAAGACAGGAGCTGGGGCTAACACGCAGGTGCGATACGTACCACGAAAAAGACTTCACGTGTTCCTGAATCATTATCCACGTCTGGCCAAAATCATCCGATTTCCAGAGCTGCAACGACAAAGGTGAATAGAGATGCCGGCGGGACCGGGCAACCAGACGGCCCCAGTCCTTCGAGATGCCCGGCCTCGGGCAGCAAAGGCAGGACAGACGCGCGTCTGCCACGAACCGCTTCGATGACCGCTCTTTACGGGGCAGCGGCCAGGAGCAACAGCAATCTTTCTTGCTGCAGGAGAAAAACCCAAACGGGGCAAACCTGTTCTTTAGTCTCCTACCGGAAGGATTTTTCAGTGTCTGCTGACTCACCTGCATTTACACGAGCTCAGAAATCAAAAGAAAGGGTTACAACGTGCTCACGGAGTGCGATAGCAAGGGTAAGTCTTTGGGCAGAGCCGTCGGGAGGCCGTGGCGACCCCAAGCACAGCAACACGCCGTCGTTGCAGATCTGCGGGCATTAGTATGGCAAGGATCAAGGGGAGAGATAGCATCTTTCGCGGCGCCGACAAAAGCAGCAGCGGTAAACACACCTGCCCGCAGGCACATCAGCCCCTCTGCTTCCCTGCAACGGCCGCGTCCCTGAAACCTCCCTGTTTTTTTCCACGCGCTGCGGTGGTACCCGAGCTGCAACGTTTGCCTCTTTGTTCGCAGGCACGCGGATACGATCAGCCAGACTCCGGCCTCGACAGTCCGTCCAGCAGCCCGGCCAGGGAAGGTACCGCCGCCGGCCAGCTCCGCACCCCCGGGAAGGCATCAGCGGCGCCCGGCACGCACCCTGCTACGACCGGACCGCGAACAGCCCCGGCCGTACACGTACCCCGCTCGACCGTCCCCATCCACGTGCTGGGGGGCGATTGTTTCGCCTCCAGCTTTTGTTTCCGCTGCCCGCGTCTATCTGAAGCTGCCGTCAGTATTACGTGCAATCTCTACCCGCTGCCTCCAGGGAACAAAAAAGCGTTTGTTTTCCAGAAGCAATTTGTTATGCGAGACCCAAAGCCAAACCACACGCCTGCATGAAATACTGCAGAGGTCCGTTGTGCCTCAGCTGCCAGCGCTCCGCGGCGAGTGCTGACCGCAATAGTCGGGGAGATCGATACGGTCAGGCGCGGCGCGGATGAAGGACCGACGCAAATGACGGAAAAGGGAAAGGAAGCATTTAAGGCGGCCATCCCGCAGGTACTATAGCCTCACTGCTCCGGAGGTCCGAAAGCAGGCCGATCTGTAGGGAGGGGGGCGTCCTGGCCCATTTGGGACAGCTCTACGGACAGTAATCCAAGATCAGACACCCTGGACGGTCAAAGCACGAACCGGCACGGCGCTGGCACCAGGCAGGGTGGCTCTCGGTATGCCGTAAGGGCTGTGGGGCACGGGCAGAATGCCACAGCAGGGTAGAGGCAGGATGGGGGCCCTCGCCTCTTTGCCGACGCGCTCACCTGTTTTTGAGGATGGGACCTGTCGAAGCCCAAGAGGAGGTCGGGGTTCCTGCCATGCAGGAGCAGGTCTGCCGCTCGGAAGGGAATCGAGAAGCCCTGAATATTGTTGCAGAAGTCGGTGGTGATCCAGAGGTACGGGACGAAAGCATCCACGAAGATATACTGGGAAGAGAGGGACCGACAAGGAAGAAGGAAAGCAGATGGTCGGTCTCCAGGAGGTCAGAGCACAACTCGGGCTGCAGCAGGAAAGGCACACGTCCCGGGCGAGCCTTTGGGAGGGCAAACTCCAGAGGAGAGGACGATGCCTGCCCCAGCCGCCCCCTCTCCCGCCACGCTCCGACACTTCTGACCACGTACAGGAGGTATGGCGGCG